GCGACAGACACAATTGAGCAAAACCAAAATACACATCTACTATGGACTCTAAAACCCCTCTATCTTATGATGCTGTGGTTTTCATTTTTCTGTGCACATTATTTTAAAAAATAATTTAGACGACACCATAAACAGATCTAGAGAGCTTGACATTTTCTAGAAAGATCTTCCACTACAAACATTCTGATGAACATTAGGCACCAAGAAAAGATCCCCAGTTCTTACCTACCAATTTCATAAAAACACAAAAATCGTGATTTACAGAAACTTGTGCCTTAGATCAACAGTTACAAACCCAGTAAAACAGAAAACACATTTTTTTTAAAATTATTTTTTAACCAGCTTCAAAGCACACAGGATAATGCACAACTTTTTCCCGTTGTTGAGTAAATGCAAATTTACCAAAAATAAATCAATAAAGCCAGAAACCTTAAACATTCCAAGTTTTCATAAAAAATAAAGTTCATGACCAAAAAAAAAAAAATGTGCTTTGCCACTCTGACTCCATAAGAGAGATCTATTATTAATGAAAAACAGCACACAACAGATTGTCTTTTGGCAAGGAGCTGGCTAGTTCTCACTTCCCTTGGTAACTATCTTTAGCGCTTTGCACTCTGGGAAGATCAGGAATGTGCAACATGCAATTATCTCATGTCAGCTCATGGGGAGGGGAAGCCTGAAAGGCAATGCAAATGAAATCCTACAGCACGAGAGCCATCAATATAGGCATTGAGGTCCGGTGACAAAGGCCTTATGATGCCTGAAACTGTCATGGCTTGGGCATTCCTGTCGACAGCTAGTGAGTGGGCTATTGACACCGTACTATAGAACAGAATCGACAGGAAACTCACAAAACAAAATGCCCTGGATATCCCTGGATAATCCAAGCGCCTAACCCCTGGAGGTGAAAGAGGGACACAGTGCTCAGATCAGTTGTGACCTGCTTTGCCACGAGGGCAAGACTAGAATCAGAAAAAGGAGCTGCTTGTCAAAGTCTGCAGAAGGGCCCAGTGTCACATTCCTTCCAATGACAATCCACTTCAGGTAAACTTCCGAGGCAGCAGGGGCCAGCTGTAGCTGGGAACACAACACAAAGCGGGCCTGCATGTCCATAGAAGTCAGCCAGCACAACCGTGGGTAAACGAAACCACAGCTCACTCCACTGCGGGACAGGAGCCGCACCCACACCTCACGATGGAAAGATATTTCACCCACTCTTCCAAGTCTTCCAAGGCCAGCACAAAAGAAACTGTGTGGTACCACGTTGAGAAGGAAAAAATATAAATACATGATTGTCTTGAATCTGTAATCTGAGTGTGTGGCACTGTACCTGCTACACGGGAAGGACTCCATGAACAAACAAACAGGAAATGGCAATGCCCATCTCGTAAGAAGCACCTGTTTCATTCTGACAGTTTCTATCTCACAGACTCTCTAAGGGCTCCAAGAAACCTACACTTCAACATGCCTTCTGGCTGGTGCATCGGTTCAACTGGCCAATCCTCTGCCTCCAAGCACCGCATCCCATAGTGATGCTGGTTCATGTCCTGGCTTGGGACCCTGTACCCAAGTGGGAGACCTGGAGAATGCTCCTGGCTCCTGGCTCCTGGTTTCAAATCAGCTCAATTCCAGCCATCACAGCCATCTCGAGAGTGAACCAATGGATGGAAGAGATTTCTTTTGGCTCTCTGTAAATCTGCCTTTCCAATAAAAAGAAATCTTTAAAAAGAAACCTTGCCTTCCCCACAGCTCATGCAAAATGCCTCCACGCACGACTCCCATTAACTCTCTGATGAGACGTGTCTCTCACCCCACAGTCTCAGGCTGTGAGGGCTTATGGCCTACTGTCTCGGTTCTCTGAAAGGACCCAGTCTTCTGGCCTCAGATGCTGTCATTCAGGACAGTGGATAGTGGTTCCAACGCTGGAGCACCCGCTGCAGACAACTGCCTCTTTGTATCCTCCCCTGAGCTGGCTTTGAATCGCATCAGTACTGACTTACTATGTTTGTTCTTCGTCATGCTTTAGGTTCATGATTTACATTTATATTATGTTGGTCTTTAGGACTTGGGGATAAGAGACCCAAAAGACACACTGAAAACCAGGGACGTGGCTCTTTTGGATGATCTCATGTTTCGAGGCACATGGCTAATCAGCCTACGACACATTTATTTTTATAAATGGTAACGTCTCCATCTCTTTCACACATAAGCAAACCAGACAAGGTTTTCAAATCCATAATCCGTGCACTGCAATGAAAATCTTGTTTCAGGAAACGAAAGTCAAGATTCTATCAGCAATCGTGAGACATGACACACACTTGTAAAACAGGAAAGGATAGGCCGTTCAGATACTTTGTTCATGACCTGTGTCCCTGTGAGGTGGACAGCGAATGGGCCAGGCCCTTGCTCAAGGAGCTCAGTGTTTCTAGGGATGCCGGAAGAGGCGTGATTACTGTTTAGAGCGAATGTGCAAAACTCGTAATCAAAGAACAGAACAGGAAGTAAGATATTTGCTTTAACGAGTCAGGGAGAGTTTCACAGAGGCGATGGCTGTTGACTTTTACCTTGAAGGACCTGTGCCACAATTGGGAGGAAGATACTTGACATTTGGGCAGAGAAAATGGCACCAGTGAAGCACAAAAGTAGGAGAAAACACGGGCTTTTCAGTAATGTACGCACAGTCCAGTGCGGCTGGAGCAGAAGGTACTTGGTTTGGGGATCAGAGGAGACTCCACAACGGAGGAAAGCCAGATTGCAAAGGGCCTTTAGTATGCCAAGATATTTGAAATTTACAGAAACATAAAGCCATCAGGCTTTTTCTTTTTTTTTTTTAATATTTATTTATTTATTTATTGGAAAGTCAGATATACAGAGAGGAGGAGAGACAGAGAAGATCTTCCACCTCATGATTCACTCCCCAAGTGAGCGCAACGGCCAATGCTATGCCGATCCAAAGCCGGGAACCAGGAACTTCTTCCGGGTATCCCACACAGGTACAGGGTCCCAAAGCCTTGGGTCGTCCTCGACTGCTTTCCCAGGCCACAAGCAGGGAGCTGGATGGGAAGTGGGAGACCTGGTGGAAGTTCCTGGCTCCTGGCTTCTGTTCAGCACAGCTCCAGCTGTTGCGCTCACTTGGGGAGTGAATCATTGGACGGAAGATATTCCTCTCTGTATATTTGACTTTGCAATAAAAAAACGAAGTAAATCTTAAAAAAAAAAAAAAAGGACACACACGAAAGGATTAACACATGGGGCCGGCGCTGTGGCGCACCATGTTAAGCAGCTATGTGCAGTTCTAGAATCCCAGAAGGGCACCAGTTCGAGTCCGAGCTGCTCCATTTCTAAACCATCTCCCTACTAATGTGCCTGGGAAAGCCCCAGAAGATGGACTCACACCTATATGAGAGATCTGGATGAAACTCCTGGTTCTGGGTGGGTGTAGCCCAGGACACTGAAGCCATTTGGAGCGAACTAGTGGCTTGCTTTTCTCTCTGTAACTCTGAACGTCACATAAATATGTTGGTGTGGAGAATACCTCCCTCCTTTCCACCTCCTCAAACTTTGATAGAGGCACCGAGAAACAGCTATTTGAAACTGTGGTGCTTCGTAGTTAGCTTCAGAAGCTGTTTCAGTCACATCAAAATAGCCTAACAAAGCATCATTATGCTCCTAAAACTGCAAATACGAAATGCACAGAATTTATTTTCTTTAAATAAATATTAAGATATATAGCATAAGAAGAAGTATCTAAATTATAAAAGAAGTAAAATTACTACAGTTTCTAGTGATTAGAAGAAAATCTTAATTTACGAGTATGCACACGCAATAAAAGCCTGTTAGGGATGATAAAAGAGCTGCAGTAAAATAACAGGATACAAAGCCTATCAGGAGCGTTTGCACACATTAGCAAGGTACAGTTTGAAAGCAAAATTCAAAAAAGCAATTCCATATATCATAGCATCAAAAAGAATAAAATAGTTAAACTTAACCCACGAAGCAAGACACTGGAATACACTGTTGTGAGAAACTACAAATAAGCCTCAAGCCATCACATGTTAATGGGCTGGAAGACTTCATCTTATTAAGATGTCATTATTATTCAAATCCCTATCAGAATTCCGCTGGTGTGTGCCTGTCAGTCTCTAAGGAAACCGAACAATCCATCACACAATCCACATGCCATCTCCGTGATCTCAAAATATCAAAATAACAAAATTGGATATGTCATAACTCCCAGCTCCCAGACGTGGTAGAAAACAGAAATTCTACCTCTAGGTACACATCAAAAGAAATAAAAGCGAGAACTCAAGAGCCATGGGGACACCAATGTTTTAGCGCAACAGTGTTCATGATGGCACACGCAGAAACCAACCTGAGTGTCTATCAACAGATGGAAGGAAAAGAGACAAATGTGATTTACACGGGAGGAATATCACTCATTCGTAAAGAGGTATGAAGTTTAGATACACAGGATGAACCTTGCAAACATGATGCTGGACATTATGGTAGACACAGAAGGACAAATATTGTGTGACTGAGCTCACATGAAGACAATAGTCAAACTTACACAGACACAGGACGAAAAAATAGAGAAGTGCCATATAATGTTTCTGTTTGAGAGCATGAAAAATTTCCAGAAGAGGACACTCACGCTGGTTACACAGTGATGGGAACACAGACGGTGTCAAAAAGTTTGTGAAAATGAAAGTGAAAAAGCAGCTTATTTTGTTGTAAAAAGGTTTTTGAAATCTATGTGAAATTTCTTACAACCACATTCATGTTTACTGATACTCCATTAAGCACTTAAAAAAAGTTAATAAGGCATACTTGCGGAAGCATACTTAACTAAAATATTTTTCCAAAAGCAGCAATTGCACTATTGCAATTTCAGGTCAGGATAGCACAGTACTCTACAAGAGATGCCTCTATTCAGATCAAAGTGGGAGTGGTGAGACGCACTGTGTCACAGGTGGGGAGGTGCTGGGATGGACGGTACTTACGTTGCAGTTGGATGAGCCATCAAATGATGGACAGGAACCATCAGGCCAGTCTGCAGGGTCCAGAGGGGCCGATTGCCGGTGCTGGGCCTCATACTCTTTGAGCTGCAGTGGGAAGAAAACGCTGGGTTGAGTTGGAAATCCTGGCCATGGTCTGCCTCACAGTAGAGAGCTCACTCTGGGGACTCTTGAATCTTCCAGGAACCCAAAGGCAGCAGAAAAACCAGCCATAGAGGCTTCTGTCTAAATCAAACCAACACATACCACGGACGCTCTCTATGCTGTGTTCTGACCTTAGCACTCATTTTCCTCAGTTCAATTGGAAGTATGCAAACAGAAAGTCTCTGGAGTTTGGCCTCTGAAATTCTTCCCACATGCATAAATCAAATAACTACACTGGGTCGGGGGGCTGGCTCTGTGGCAGAGCAAGTCAATCCTCTGCCTGTAGTGCTGGCTTCACACACGGTTGCTGCTTTGTGTCCCAGCTGCTTAAGTTTCCCATCAAGATCCCTGCTTGTGGCCTGGGAAGGCAGTAGAGGATAGCTCAAGTCCTTGGGCCACTGCATCACAGGAAAGACCTGGAAAAGGCACCAGCTCCTAGCTTCATATTGGCTCAGCTCCAGCCACTGCAACCATTTGGGGATGAACTAGTCGATGGAAGAACTGGCTCTCTGTCCCTCTCCTTTTCTCCGTATTTCTGCTTTACACATACACACAAAAAAATCAATAAATATTACAAAAAGAGGGGAGGGGCGGGGGGAGGACAGGAAACTATACTCCATGTTTCGGGTTAGACAATGGAGGAGACTCAGGCACTGTAGTAACAGAGGCAAAAGCATTCATAAAATGGAACTGGCTAATCCCGCCCTGACAAGCAGCAGGATCCCAACAGGATCCTGGCTGCTCCACTTCCCATTCAACTCCCTACTTGTTGCCTGTGAAAGCACCAGAGGATGGTCTGCGACCTCGGAACCCTGTACCCACATAGGAGACCCAGAGGAGGCTCCTGGCATGAGATTAGATCAGCTAAGCTATGGCTGTTGTGGTCATTTGAGGAGTGAACAAGCAAATCTAGGAATTTTCTCTCTTTCCTTCTCTTTATAAATCTGCTTTTCCAATCATACATATGTTTTTTCAAATTTTAAAAAAAGTGTGTATGTATATGTATACATATATTGAAAGAAAGTATTGGATCTGGCATGGCGACTCAGTGGCTAGAGTCCTCACCTTGCACACGCTGGGATCCCATACAGGCTGGTTCTAATCCCAGCAGCCCCTACTTCCCATCCAGCTCCCTGCTTGTGGCCTGGGAAGTTGAGGACCGTCCAAAGCCTTGAGATCCTGCACCCACATGGGAGACCTGGAAGAAGCTCTGGGTTCCTGGCTTCAGACTGGCTCCACTCTGGCTACTGTGGCCACTTGGGGAGCGGACTGAAGATCTTTGTCTCTCCTCCTCTCTGTATATTTGACGTTCCAATTTTTAAAAAAAAGTATCACTCACTTTCCTTTTTCAAGAGTATAACTACTAGTTGAACATTATTGCCTTATAAATGTAATAAGTTTGGGGAGAGAAGAGTGAGGGAATTTGAGGAGAGGCAAAAAAAAAAAAAAGCAGAAAACTTCAAAGATATTTAAAGCTTAGATTAAGAAACTACATTTCTTTTTTTTTTTTTTTCCAGAAACACAGAAAGGCAGGTTATGTGTGATAGAAGAGTGAGCAAGCTAAAGGGCTCTTACAAAGGCTATCTGTGAGAAGCTACCAGTGTGTTCTGGAAAACACACAGCAATTAAATCCATCGTTCAACACAACTCTCACTGCATTCAAATCCTTTTACAAATCAGAGATGAAGACATCCGTCAAATCACATATCATGGACCACACAGAAATAATCCGGCCCCAAAGTCCATGGGACAGACACGCTAGCTCTGTGCCCGAGTCTCCATGCGAACTACGAAATGCAATGCAGCAAAGCTAAGCAGCCCAGGGACACTGTACGATGCAGCCACTATTTCATATTCACTAGTACCACTCTTGTGGCGCCATACAGAAAAAAAGCCCAAAGTTCTATCAACTATGGTGGGTCAAACTTTTTGCTGGTAGGGGAATTAATCATTTTAATCTTTCTGATACGTTAGAGACATTTATGTTGTTCTAATCTTGGTGCTATATATATATGCTGTGTACTAGAATGCTCTACTTTAAAAAAAAAAGTATTTATTTTTATTAGAAAGGAAGATTTATAGAGAGACAGAAGGATTTTTCCATTTGCTGTTCACTCCCCAGACGGCAGCAATGGCCAGAGATAAACTAATCCAAAACCAGGCGCCAGGAGCTTCTTCTGGGTCTCCCATGTGGGTTCAGGGCTCCAAGGCGCCAGGGGTCACCCTTCAGTGCTTTCCCAAGCCATAAACAGGGAGCTGGATGGGAAGTGGAACAGCCAGGACACAAACCAGCACCCATATGGAATCCTGGCATTTGCAAGGCGAAAATTAGCCAGATAAGCCATTGAATGCTATAGAATGCTCTATTAAATATACTGACTTCAGAAATGCTACACTGTCCCTAGTGAAGAATGTTCTGGAGGAACAGTTTTACCATCTGGATAATGGGATTATCGGGTTTCTAGCTGGGTTTCCTTTACATGTGCATACTTAACTTTGGTCCCCAATCCACCCGCAATCACTAAGTCATTTTTGTTTACAAATGAAAAATTTAAAAACATCACTAACCCAAGCTGATCAATCAGGACTAGACTTCAGTCCAGTCAGTTTTCTTCCCCTGATATGTCTATCTCCAACATCCACTTGGCAGTTGAAAACTATGAGTGCTTCGACCTGCAGATACCATAATTCCCAAATGTTATGTGGCTTAATGTTACAAAACAAGGGGTGTGTTTTGCGTCAAAGCGGATGACTGTGTCACCCAGGGCAACGCCATCTCTTAAGTACTGGATGACATATGTCCTGTACAGCCTCCTGCTGATGGGCCAGGGAAAGCGTCAGCACACGGCTCCAACACCTGGGCCCCCGTGCGCACCGAGGAAGGTCCAGGGGAATTTCTAAGCTCCTGGCTTTGGCGAGACCCAGCCCTGGGTGTTGTGTTCATCTGGGACAGGAACCAGTAGAGAGAAGATGTCACTACATAGCTGACTTATAAATCCTTTAAAAAGCTGTAAAACAAGAACTTTTAGAAAGTGTGTTGCTCAAGGGATAAAGCTCGATTATCATTTATACAATCATTCTACTTTGCTTCCAGATGTTTTAATTATCACTTCATGAAGAAATAGTAGACGGTAATTTCCATTTGATCACATATTTTAAAGGAAATGTTTCATTGTACACGAACTTCACAAGTTATACAATCATGACGCTATAAAGGGTGTGTGTCCATCTGACAGTCACTCACTTCAGTCTACCTCCCCCAGCCTCGCTGTTTTCTCACTGCTGAAGATCCCGACATGATCCTTAGAGACTCCTTAGTAGATTAATGCTGTTTGATCTTGGAGGGTACAAAGACACAAGGTCTGTAATGGCCCAATCCCTACAAGTGTTCACTACATAAAAAAATAGTGTATTATACTGAAGCTAAATTCCTTCCAGCTATAATTGTATTTCGTTTTAATCTGTCCTCAGTAGGGATTGTAAAAACACACGATCTTCAATACATTCTGAGGATGCAGAGTTTGGCAACCCTTCAGATACTTGAAGGCAATGATGCATTATTTTCCTCTGCTTCACCTCTGACATAAATCCTTTACTTTTGATATAAATCGATAAAAACACTTCTCCTCAAGGGCCCCATTTAAGAAAATGCTCTACAAACTTCATAAGCCTCTTTCTGTGTTTAAATCTCTGTGTTTGACATGTAAAAGCTAATACATGGAAGTGGTTTCATAATACACATAGGATCCCAGTTCATGAGCCTCGTGCTCTGGTATACCAGATGCCCAGATTCCCTTACGATGGCTTACACAACTATGACTGAATTCATACTTGCACTCTTCCCTGGAGAGCAGGACTGAGGACCTGTCTCCTCAGACACCTGCAAGGCTGCCTCTCTCCACAACCAGCATTCAGCTGTTCCTTCTTGGGGAGGACAAGCCCTACAATGCAATTCTTGCAGAACTGTGCACTCCATATGGGCTCAGGGCAAGGTAGACTTGCATGGAAAGAATATCTCTGATTAGCTTTTCCTCTGTCCCACTTTCTCTCTCTCTCTCTCTCTCTCTCTCTCTCTGTCTGTCCTACCTCCAAAAGCTTCCTTCAACAAGCCAGCTGCACAAGAACCCCTGTCTCAGGCGCTGATTCTCGCAAACCTGGGACAAGTGACATTCAGCCCAAACCAAAGCACTGATGAAGTTCTGTAACATTAATGCTCTAAAAAAAAAGAAATCAAAGGACATTAATCTTGGATTTTTCACACAGTAATAGTCTCATGGAACCAGTTATATACTTATCAAATGGACAAAAACATTATTTAGATTACATGAGTAGTTTTCAGCATGAATAATTATGTTAAAGGAGATACGATTTTTAAGTTATGGTCAGAATGCTTTCAATTCTCTATAAATAGTGTTTCCAGTTAACATTTCTTTTTTTTTTAAATTAATTTTTAAAAAAATCTTTAACAATCTTTACATAGTTATTTAGGGTAAAAAGGTTCAAGGGCTATAGAAAGTGGGTCAGACTATTATTTCCATATTGTTTCCTTGATGTTTAAAGGGGGATATTAAGGGAGAAAGCCCACCCAATTTCCCACTCTCCCCAGGTCCCAGATGTGGGGCATGCTCTGAATTGCTGCCAATCTTGCCTCTCCAAGCAAGATGAGGTCATTGAAGAATCCACTGATTGACATAGTCCATCAGAGTCTCCGTTTGCCCTGTATTTCGCTGCCAACATTTGGCTGAAATAGTTGATTGACCTGTTCTGTCTTCTGACTTTTCTTGATTAGGGTTCTGAGTCCAGCATTTTGATTGGGGAGATCTCCAAAAAAACTTTGTCTGAGGTGTTCCCAGACCAGATTCTTGTATGTACTAGCAAGCACAGGGCCCAGCACAGTCCATCGCCTGGATCAGCTGGTCGTTGCAATTGCTGGGTTGGTTCTGTTTCCATCCCTGTCTTCCACTGGAACCAATGGGTGTTGCAGTCCAGCCTGGTTCTGCCCAGCACATGCTCAGCCCACGCATAAACAAGTGGGAGCTGCAGCCTAGTCGGAGCGACCCACAATAACCCCCACCAGGCCCGCCCCCTACTCTGGTTTGCCAGTATGTGTGGCAGTAGTCCAGTCTATCCCACACCCCTTTTGGCTCTCGTACATGTCAATGGGCATTAAAGCTGTGTTCCCTCTAACAGTTCCACTATGCAGCCCACACAGATGCTGTTGTATGTCTGTCTAGCCACCCAGCTCCTCTCCTAGTTTTCGGGCCCTTCCTGTGGAAGTGGTAATCCAAGAGGAAGGAGCCCACTATTTCCCTCCCAGGCCTCTCTCACTCCCAGATTATGCACTCTGTAGGTAGTTCTGTGGTTTGACTTAACAGAATTAGCCCCCAGAGCCAGCTTCTGCCAGCTGATGCTGTGGCTAAGCCCAAACTACCCTCACCCACTCCAATTGTAGATTGAACCAGTAGGAACAATCAGCCCAGCCTGGTTTTTCTCTGATCTGGGCCATAAGAGGCGCACAGGTGTTGTAGTCCCACTTAGTCTGGTTTGCCCTCATCCGAGCTCATGCTCTCCAGTGGGAGTAGATATCCAGCAAGGGAGCCCCTCCCTATTCTCCCTGCCTGCTCTGCCCCCTCCCTTCCTGATTCTCATGTGTGCTGGTTGGGCGCTGAAGTCACATCCAGTACAGGCAACCTCACCTTGGCAGTCCGTATTGTGCACTAGTTTTTGCTGCGACCGAACCTGGCTTGACCCACACTGTTCTGATGGTCAGATTTGCCAGTGGATGATGTCAACTAATTCAGCCTGGTCTGCCCCCGACCCATGCCAAATGTATGCCAGTGGGTAACTTTCCACGGCCTGTTCTGGGCTGTTTCCTATCATGCTTCTTGTGCTTACCTGCATTGTCTGTGTCCTACCAGAGGAGTTGCCCAGCTGCTCCATCAGAACCCCTCTGAGTGCCAGATTTCGTGCATACCAGTGGGTCCATGAGCCAGCACTACTCAGTTCACCTCCTGTCCTAACAGGAACAGTGGCTTTTCCTAACTGGCCTTCAACCCATTCTGGTTCTTGTTGTTGGATATTTCAGTCCAGCCATGGCTCATACATGGCTCAGTAGGGGTTGAGACCTTGCCTAGTCTGTCCCATATCTACCCCGATCCTCCAGGACACCACAGGGTGTTGGAGTCTGGCCTGACTTGGTGCATCCAATCCCAGTCCATACTTGTACCAAGGGATACTACAACTGTTTCCTGATCAGAACGCAGTCCCATTCCAGCTCGTGCTTGCATTAGTGAGAACCTCAACTCAGCTAGGGTTGTCCCCTTAGCTCCCCAACCAGGCCTGTTCCCAGCCACAGATCACGCACATGCCAGTGGTTGCTCTGACTCAGCTTGGCACAGCCGCTCACCTGTCGCAACCTCTGCCTTAGACACTGTGGCTTAGAGTTCCTGGCTCGCGCAGACTAGTAGGTACAAGAGCCTATCTCAGCATGACCTGTGCTCCATCCTGGTCTCTAGTTTCACTTGTGGGCTAAGGTTTGCTCAGTCCTGCCTGGTGCGCCAGTTCCATTGCCTTTTCATACATTGACGAGCCGTTGGAGCTACTTTGCCCAGCTTGTTCGACCCCCAGGTCTGGACCACCTGTTCACCAGTGGGAGCTATGACTCATCAGGGGAATTTCCCAAGTTCCTCCACTTAATCCACTCCCAGACCTAGTTCTCCTACATGCCATTGGGTTTTAGGCCAGTTGTGGCGTAGTCTGGCTTTCCTTTTGCCCTTGCATGAGCTAGTGAACATAGCAGCCTGGCCCACCCCACACCCTATTCAGGATGCACATTCAGGTGCTGTTGCCTTGACCAGTCTAGACTGTTGCAGGTTCCTTTAACTGTGACTGATGGCAGGCTCCTTGGTCACACCTAGCTTAGTCCATCACCACCCAAACTCTGGAGCTAACCAGTGGGGCTAGAATTTCCATAGGGTTTGGCCCACACATCCCCTACAGAATCTACCCCCGGATATGGTTCTCGAGTGCCAGGCATGAGACGCCCTGTCCTGAGACCCACCCACAGCAGGGAGGCTGGTGGAAGTTTAAACTCCCAGGCCCAAGGTTGTGCCCCTCCCCAATCCCATTCACCGCCCAATGAGGGCAGCAGGTGGGCCCCAGACCTGCCCAGTCATGGAGCCCTCCCCACCTTGGTGTACTCACCCCGAAGGGAGCAGCCCCCAGAGCCCAGGTAGGCCCGGGGACAGCTCACCACGTGCATGGTGTCTGGAATCCAGGCATGAGATGCCCCTTCCTGAGACCTACCCCAGTTAACATTTCAAGGCACATGTTTTGCTCTGTTGTAACAAATTAACTAAGGAGTTCAGCTGCCCTAAAGCACATGCAGAAAGCTTCAGAGTAGGAGAAAATGGAGAGGCAGGTAAAGGGAAGAGAAAAAATCCTTTATTCACTGGTTCACTCCCCAACACCTGCCAACAGCCGGGGCGGGGCCAGGCTGAAGCCAAGAGCCTCTCAGGGCAGGGATCCCAGTGCTTAGACAGTCACCCACCGCCTCACAGACACACAGCAGGAAGCTGGCCTGAGAGCACAGACTTTCCTATAGCACTTGGCCTGCTGTGCCACACAGTCAGCCCCTCAAATCCTCAGTTGTACTATCAAAAGCAATAGAGTAGCACCTTTTCTAGAAGGCTAGTAAGTACTCTGCCCACCACAATAACACTAAATACAAGGCCAGATTCCCACGTGCATTTTTAGGATTTCAGCTGGACTTTCCCCCAATGCCATGGCACAGCCCAAGAACAATACTGGAGGAAGCCTCTGTCCTCCAGTGGCAGCTGTGCCAGGTGGCTGATGAAGAGGGCATAGCGGACCAGCAACACGGACAAGATGCTGTTGCCTGCCATCTGCTTCCTCACTGGCAGAAGCTCCAACCTGCTCACTTGGAATAAATTCAGCCACACCATCCTTGCCTCCCCCACCACTTCAGCTGCTGGAGCCAGAGGAGGCCACGGCCGCGGTCATTCTTCCAAAGGAGAGGAAAGAGCAGAACGAGGTTCCAACGCACACTTACTCTCAGGTTATAGAAAAGACTTTTTTGGAAACCTTGTCTCAATAGTAAAGTTTAAAAAAATTTTTTTGAACCACTGACTTTTATTGCATGGTATACTAAACCAAGTATGCTTTCATTCTTTTAAGGTTTCAGCTCTGAAAAATGCTGTGCTGTGGTTTGTCCCCACCAAAGCTCATATTGAAATTTGGATGGGGGACTTAAGGTAGGGTCATGGGTGGGACTGATGCCATTGGAAAAACAAGGGTTTGGCCTCGACCCTCTGCCCAATGCTACAGAAGCATCCAGTTTTCCTCCCAGACGACTCGGCCTGTGAGGTTCCATCATGGAAGAAGAGAATGGTTTCATCAAACATCAAAGCTCTTGGCATCCCCTGACCTTGAACTTCCTCCCACCATTAAATGGCTGTTGTTCATAAATTACCCAGTCTGTGTGATCTTATGGCAGCAGCACAGAACGGCCTGAGACAGGGCAAAGTCGTAACTCATTCAAAGTTTCCTCCATGATTTGAAAGTTTTCATTAGTTTCCAACCTTGACTATTTAAAACTTGCCTGCACAGGACTAAACCTAATGCTCAAAGTGAAAGCCCAAGATCAATCGGCTCATTTGTCAACAAGAAAAAGAAAATGGCTTGATAATTTGCTGCCTCACAATCATAAATACTTGCCAGGACCCTAAAAGTTAATTAGGCTTCTCTTGGTGGCTAATTTAACTCAGGGACAAAAGGAAGAGACAATAAACTACAATTAATGCTTGTGAGGATGTGAAAGTAAGAAAACTTCTGTGGTATAGTGGTATAGAGCACTCAAACTTCAGTGTGTAAAGGCATCATGCAGAACTGATGCTTCTATTTATAACTTTTTCTTAGTAATTAATGTTTTACCACTGATTATATTTTTTATGTTGGATGCAGAATTAGAGTCAGGGAAAGATCTTCCTTCTGTTGGTTCACTTCACAAATGGCTACCATACTCAAGGCTGGGCCATGTCACAGGCAGGAGCCAGCTTCTTTCAGGTCTCCCAGGTGAGTGCAGCGGTCCATACACTTGGGCCATCTGCCACTACTTCCCCAGATACATTAGTAGGGAACTGGATGAAAAGTGCAACAGCCAGGACAGCAACTAGCACCCCTATAGGATGCCAGGAAGCTTAACCCATTATGCCACAGTGTCAGCCCTGCTTATATTCTTGACAATCTCTTCAGGTCTGTTAATGTTGCATTGGCCTGCAGGAGGCTATTTGCCTCACTGATGTGGTCTATAAACAAAACCACCTGATTCACTTCCGAAAAACGGAAGCTGTGCCTCACAAAATATAATGCTTGCCACAATATCATCAAATATATGCCATGTAATGCCTCCCTCGGCCCCGAAAACGCTTAGAAACACAAGAAGGCTCAGGTTCCTACCCTGGCAAGGGCCTCCTCGATGGTGATCATCCTCTCCTTCACCATCATCATGAGCTGGATCCGCTCCTCGTCGCTCATCGTGATCTCGCTGGCCACATAACCGACATCTTCCCCTAGAGAGACAGGACCAAGAAGTACAGAAACAGGAATCAGAAAGGGGAAGCACTAAGATGAAGCACAGGGCTGGCTCTGTCCCCATGCTGCCTCAGGCCAGCCAAGGATGAGAGCAGGGACACGGGGAACACTGCTTGTCATGGGTGGAACACATCCCGGAAAGGAACAGGGAAGCAGGCTTTAGGAGAGCGTGCATGTTACAAAAGGAAGCTGGTCCAGTGAAGTGCCTCAGTGACAGGGACAGAGGAGACCCCGTAAGCTTTCCACGGACACACCAGAATCTCTGAAGAAGATATTTTATTGAGGAGGGGGCCAAAACTTCTCTGTCACGGAAGAGGTACGTGAGGTCAGGAGTGAGATCCTACAGCCATGTCACATCCTCCCTCCCTATCAGGCTATTGAGCTAAGTGTTCGCCCTGGACTAAGTGCAAACCAGGCGAGTCAGACATGAGGCAGAGGGTCCCATGCTGGGCGTGGGAATCAATTTCCCACTTAAACTGAAGGCAGCCAAGAGAATTCCCAGCAAGCTCTTCCCCAAGATACTCCCTTCTAGCAAGCTGGAAAAATGGACCAAGGTGTCCCTTGGTCAGTGTGGGGAGGACACCGGCCACATGCCCCAGCCCCTCCTCTTCCTTCCCAGACACACCTTACAAGTTTGCAACGTTGTCAGGATTTCGGTTGTGGCTTTGCAAGCCCTTGGTGTAGAATGAGGACATGGTTGACCTCGGAATGTAGGATGCTCTGGGCTTCCCTGTCTCCTTTCTACTGTGTTATCAATTAGTCCAGAAATGCTACCTCACTGGTCCATGGGTTCATGGGGAGTGACAGCAGGTGGAGGCAGGGGAGAGCGAGTTGAGTGATTCACTTCACCATGTTAGGGATGGCAGCAGAGGGGGAACGGGCTGGGGATCGGAAGCAGTCATGGGAGCTGTTCAGCTATGCACTCCCTCCCTCCCTGTGACATGCTCCTCAGATTGCCTTCTAGGACAGACATCCTTAGCATGGGTCCTTGTCCCACCACGGTCTGCATCTGTGTGCAGGAAGAGGGGGAGAAGCGTTCTAGGCAGGGTGAGGCGCCCCAAGTTCGTGCCGGGGTGTCCACAGTCTGCGGGCCATCTCCATCACAGCAGGACTGGAAGCTCACTGCGGATCGGTGCCACTTGTCCTCTCTCAACACAAGGGAAACAAAAATTCCATAACCAGCCTCAAAGAGATGACGTAGTTACTCACTATCTCAACAACAACCAAAGACACAGCCGAGGGGAGAGCGGGTCTTCCCAAAGCAGATTCCCACGATGTCAGGCCATTAGAGGGTGTCCAGGGACAACAAAGGACAGGGACACATTCACGAGAATACAGAGCTCCAGGCAGGGCAGTGGATGGCAAGGCCCAAAGCTAACATAGGCCAAGTCTCGCTGGCCGCTAGCAGGCAAGTGGCGAGGGAGGAAATATGGCGCTAAGGTTGTTTGTAGGGCTAAGATAACGGAAGCTCGGTCTTTGCTGTCAGAGAAGGTTCTTCCCATTTTCTTGCCTCTTTCCCTTTTGCTGGTTTTGATAAAAATAAGAAACACCATGCAGACGCCTCATAGTGGCAATAGGAATGTCAGAAATCTAGAACATTCTACAGGCACATACAATAAGCTCTTCCAACTTGCAAAATGTATTTCATGTGGTAGCAAGGCTTCCCCAAGATGTTGAGTTGATAGCGCCTACTGAGCGATGGCTGTGTTACACTACCTTTTGAAGTCTGTCTCATTATTCCTTTCTGGTTCTTTCGGAAGTTCTGCCAGAAATACTTATTTTTTTTCTTCCAATCTCCTTTTCCTTTAAAAAGTAAAAAGACACAATAATAAATTCATTAGTAACAAAAGTGACTTCTTCCTTATAAGTCAAAGCTTCTAAGAATACTTTGATTTCACAAAAAGATTTTTTTTTTCTTTTTTACTCAGTGAAAGAAATGCCTATAAAGTTGTTTAAAAGAAATGCAAATTTCCTAGTAGCAGTGGGGTTAACATGAGAAACAAGGAAACATCAAAAAGGCCGGCAGAACATACATGCTTGGACTCGCTTTGATGTTTGTTTAACTAGTCTTCCTCGTTCCGCCCCGTCTCGCGGCACACTCCCCTTTCTGTCTCAGCCACAACTATTTCTACTGTCCCACAAGCGGGATCCTTCAGGAAGTGAACTTTTCTTGGTTGTTACTGCTGATCTGCCCTTAGTTTATTTCCAGTCTTCCAGATTTAATGCAGAGAACAGAATGGCTGGCATTTCCGGTGCCCATTAGCCAGTTCATGCCAGCAATTCCCAGGGGTCCATGGGGCTGACCCACTTGATTCTCTACAGCATGCCCTATACAGGACTCTAGGGATGGCATGGCGGGGGCATGGTGCCCATCTTGCTGGCACAGAGGCCTCCTGGGACCCCTAGAGGTTATCCCAGGGCACAAGGGTACACAGCCCCAGGTCCTGCTATGACACACCCCAAGCCTGTCTGTCTCTTTCCCTCTGACCCCTCATTCTTCCCAGGCTATTCTGGATGGTTTCCAAGTGTAGAAAATCTCCCTGCCAAAATTAGACATCTTAACTATTTGGTAGATTTTTGATCATCCCTAATATGTAATTCTTTTAACGGGGGGAAAAAGGCAAAGGGGAAATGAACGCACAGGGCAGTGCCTTGGTCTGCGCAAGGTCAAGTCGACAGCAACAGTCTCCACTAGGAGGCACATTTGAAGCAGCGGCATTGGGCTATTTGATGTCTGCCCGGGCAAACACAGCCCAGCAGGGCAGCAGGCTCCCACAGTCTAGACAGGCGGTGTCAGGCTGTGCTGCATGGAGCAGGCACGTGGGAACCCCGCCAGGGTGCACCCAGGCTAGCCAGGGTGCTGTCTTGTCAAAACAGGGCGTTCTCATTTCAGTTTCTGAAATGCCACAGAATGGTGGGAAACAAAGCCAACCAAGGCAGCCAGGCAGCCTTGGATTTCCCAGCCCTGCAATCCTCGGAACCGGCCTCGGGGCGCTCATTGCCTTACGGCCACACCCCCAAACCACTGTGCCAACAGGGGAGATGGGAGCTGGTCCTATACTGCTCATGCCATCTTCCTCTAGGGCAGTTCGGGAACCTACCATATTTCTTTGACCCCAGGCCTTATTGTGCCTGCCAATTTTAAAATGAAGAGCGAGCCTAACAATTAGAAGACATCCAACATCTTATTCAGCCCTGACCATACCTAGGCCTTTGCCACCCTTGTACCAAGTAGCCACTGTTCCCATTCAACAGGTGAGAAAGACTTGGACAAGGAGAAGGAGACTTGCCTAAGGTCATAACCACTGAGTTCAGGGTCAGGATGCAAAAGTTAGCAGTCAGATGGGTAGCCTTGTAGTCCCAAACACTGGTTCACACCCGCCACTGACATAAGCAGAAAAGCTGTCACTATATCCAGTGCAGACTTTCGTCCTCAAGAATATATGGTGTTTAAATCCCACTTTGCAGGATTCACCCCAAGGACACGATCAGGGATGCTGACTCCAGGGGTTTTTCAGCAGAGAAAATTGGAAAGCACTTAAATGGTGAGCATTGAAGAGGTTGGTGAATTCAGACTGGCTACCTCCAACACGGCAGAACCGTGTGCGGACCGCACTGTAAGGAACGCTCCCACCTGTGGGGAAAATGTTGCTGGCATTCGTTGTCTAAATAATCACCATGGGATATTAGCATATGATCAAGATGGCAATTTACAAACATATCCCATCCAGAGGAGAAGGGCAGGAGAGGGTGGCTGCTTTCTGGGAGAGGCGCTCTGATGGCTCACCTGTTCTCTCAGTTATACCTTCTATATAAAGCAGCAAAACAATTCAACATTCAAACCAAGAAAAAAAGTACTGACCTACAGCACTGTCTTCCGAGTTGGATTTATGCAGAGGGTGCCTAGAAAGGAAAAACAGATCTGATTACCAAGGAACCCTGCCTTCACTCAGCAGCCTGCCACAGAACCTAGCCCACCCCACGTAGCCAAGGCCGTTACCACCGGCTCTTCCTACCCACCAACTGCCATTTGTCAACATGCATTGAAGATGCACCACAGGCTCCGACTGACCTTACATGAACAGGACAGACTTCAACAAATGCTCGCTCAAGTTCCTTTTATTCCCAAGAACTACATGTTTAGTTAAAGTCATTGGGGAGGCCTTTCATATAAATGGAAAATATATAAAGAAAACAATAAAAAAAAAAGTACAAGTTGCCACCACACAGGCCACAGGCCACACAGGCCAGCAGGTGCACTGAGTGGTCAATGGTAGGAAAACTCAGGGACTGGGGTGGGGTAGAGGGGAACCCTAAGTCCCAGAGGACTGGCTATTCCATTTTGAGGCGCAGGCAGCCTTGAACTTCTCCACCCAGCCTCGCTGCCAGTTCCAAGTGCCAATGCAGTATCCACCTTGCTAGATCTCTCCAGGCTCGAAGGCAAGCAAGAAATCTACTACTTTATACAAGTTTCACATTGTGAAGTGACAGACAAACCACGCGTTCAGGCTCATCGGGTCTAAGCACCAGCTTGGGTCCCCACATCCTGTTCCCTTTCTGTGATGGACGATACGGGTGAACCCCACGCTGGTCAACTGAGCATGTGTCCAGAGAGAATTTTTAGATACATACCAATTTAAAGCAAGAAGGAAGGGAAAACAAAGAGAGTGAAAATTGGCCATCTTTGAAAAAGCACAGCAGAGCTGGGCAAAGGGTAAGGTTAAGGGTTTAACCTAGCAATTCAGACACAGTTTAAGCAGTGTGTGTCCCATACTTGGAGCACCTGGGTCAGTCCCTGATTCTTCGATCTGCTGACTCTAACGCCCTGCTCACGCAGACCCCAGGAGGATGAAAGGATGGCTCCAGGAGCCGCGTTCCTGCTGCACACATGGAAGATGGGAATGAAGTTCCAGGCTTACGGCTCTGGCCAGGCCGTTGTAGACAACCGGGAAGGAACTGGCAAATGGGAGCTTGCACAAAAACAGAAAAAGAGAGAAGAGAGGGCTTGGAGAAAGGCTTTGGTCAGCTGGGTCCAAAGCCCAGAGAGTACATTCCATACCCTGGGGCTTGCGGTCAATGAAGAACCAGAAAGCAGGAACCACATGCCCACAGCAGCAAGTTCCTACAAGGGATCTACACCCCGAATCCTCGCGGCGGATTCCCAGGGTAGGGTTGGGGAGCACAATGGAACAGGTGTCAGGCCAAACATTCTGGCGGTGTTCGAATGTTTGGGAAAACTAAAAGCTGGAGGGCCAGATCTGGGAATAAACTAGTGGATGCAGTGCGGCCAATCTAGGTCACTTCCGGTGACTCGCTGCTGGATTAAAAACATCTTAAGCGTATCTAGGGACCAGAGAGAACTGGGAGGGGCTTGCTCTCACCGAACCCGCGAGCAGGGCGACCCCAGCCAGCGAGCACCCTCACTCTCCAAGCCTGAGAGAAGAGAGTCACTTCCACAGAACCCACTCCTGCCCCACTCCCCGGGGAGAGAAGCAGCAGGGAGCAGAGATCGGGGTCCTCCTGCCTTCCCTGCCCATCCTGAGGCATCAAACACAGGAAACTGTCCCAAAGCGCAGCTGCCCCCTTCCGCTCTCCTCGCCCTAGCCCTGCAACAGCAAAAATGTCTAAATACGTCCATTTGTGTGGCTTATCCGGAGTAACCATTTCCAACTTGATATCACTGAAGGCAAACTGCATTGAGTGAACTCCAACCAGGATGCATCCAAAGGAACGGAACTCACGGGTTTCGGGAAGGAGACAGCTATGAGCAGAGAAGGGCAAGAAAGAAGAGAAGGGAGAAGAGCTGGAGCAGAGAGAGGAAGAAGGGAGGGGTAGAGAGAAGGAGAGGCTACAGGGCTATGGAAAGGATGAGACTAAATGAAAGGGAAAGGGGCTACTGGGCCTGGAATTACGGCAAGGAATCCCTCAAAGGGAACAGCAGTGAGGCGAAGCTGGCATCTGAAACTGTTTTACTGCATCTTCCTCTACCGCCTTTTGACCTCAAAGCCAAGGTCCATCAGTGCACCTTGCACAGCAGATCCTGATGCACAGGGAAGCCCTCCATGTAGTTTTGTGCCCAATCCAAGGGCCAGGCAAGTCTTGACCCAACTGCTTAGGACTAAACACGTTAAACAACTCTAGCTCCAGATACAATGAGCCAGCTAGCCAATAAATACAAAATGCACACATGAACTTTTATCGAGAAGATTTAGTGGCTGCAGAGAAAAATGGCTGGGGAAAAAAAAATGTCCTTTGCTGATTTAAAAATCTTAACGAGTTGTCAGGACTATGACCAGTCACTTAATCCAATCCCAATTTTACCAAAACCTGTGCTTTCCAGAGTTAAAGTGGCCAGGAACTCCACGGCCACTGGAGGACAGCAAATGATGAGACCAAGACAACTGGCCCTCTCCCTCTCCTTAATCCAGACAACATGTATATAAAACCAATACAGTACTAGCTTCCAAACATTCAGACTTTCACTTTCAGTTCTTCCAACCAATTTTTTTAATTGTTTTCAGCCAAATGGAAATAGCTAACACCATAAAATACTCCAGGACTGATACTGAAGAAACAGGTTCATTCTCACTAACTCACAGTGATTATAAAATAGAATGTTTCCTCTTTAAAGTGATTTAATAACATTATTACTTTTCCTACTTCCTTCAATTTTTATAATTTTGAGCAATTCCAGGGTTTGCTCACACCCTAGTCAGCGCATGCATTTTCCACATGTAGCCAGCAGATGGCACTTTAGCTCCCTTCTTCATCTCAGCAGGAGTGAGTGGGATTTGTTTTTAAACTCTCCAACTAGACACTAGCCAAAAAAAACAACAAATCAGTGTTTCACAAGTGCGAGGCCTCTCACTCGTCAACTTGCAAAAGAGTATGATGACCTCTTAGGAATGTGGATGCAGTGATGGCTCCCTGCAGACAGACCCTGACAGAGAAGGGATGCGAAGGGCTCTTTCTTATTCCCCTGGACGCTGATTATAAAATTCACACAGCAGGAGCAGCCATCAGCCATGCAACAGGATTCCGAGTCAGCATGGCAGCAGGGGGGGAGGTCACTGGCTGACCTCCTGGTGGAAGGTGTTAGCACTCAGAAGGCAGCCCCGCCATGGTCCTGAGATAACATCCTTCTCCCAGTGGACACTGTTGGAGCGGGGTGGAGGGAGGGCTCCACCTTTGTGCCCCCACCTCCTGGTTCAACGGGGAGAAGAGGAGGCGACTTCAGCGTAATTGCTTGACCAGGAAGCAGTAATGAACATTCTGATACTTATGGAACACTATGTCAACATTTAAACTTCAAGTATTGTGGTTAAAAGATTTCTTTCTTTATTTAAAAAGCAGATTTATTTATTTGAGTAAGCGGGGGAGGGTGGAGAAACACTGATCTTCCATTCACGGATGCACTCCCCACACAGCCACAACTTCAGGGTTGGGGCATGCCAACACCAGGGACTAGGAACTTCAACCGGGTCTCCCATGTGCATCCAGGGGAGCCAAGCACTTGGGCCACCCTTCCTGGCCTTCCCAGGTGCCTTAGGAGTGAGCTGGACAGGAAGCAGAGCAGTCTGAACTCAAACAGGTGTTCATCCGGGAAGCAGGCAGCACAGGTGGCAGTTCGTTCCACTGCCCTGCAGCGTTGGTCCCTAAATATTGCATTCGGGTCTCAGAACTGAACCTTAGCAAACCAGTGACTACTAGGAGTGCTCAAACTGTGTCACTGCCAAGCGTTTTCCTCAAGACCCCTATGCTGCACTTCCGCTGTTCTGAAAGGCAAAATGTTAAAAATTCCTAAATAAGAATTTAATTAGATCTAAAATGCCAACAAGAAGGGACAGTATCCCCCAAAATTAATTCTTGTTTCCACTCCTACCTAAATAGTTCACTGATGACTAAATTATTTCGTTCATTCATTTTCACACTTTGCTCTTTCCTCCCTCCCTCTTTTATCCAGGAAGTACCGATTCTCTGCCAAGATGAGTTAGGGACCCTCTGAGGTACCAAGAACCCAGCCGGAAATAACAGTAAGGCGCCTGGGCAGCAGACATTGAACCCAGTGTGCTGGACACAGCATCCCATCACAGAACGCTCAGGTGCAGCTTGTGGCTTCCGGCTGCTGCTTCCTGCCACAACAGCCCCTGAGGACCTGGATGCCTTTCCCCCAAGTGGGAGAACTGGCTTAAGCTCCTGGTTCCAGTCCTGGCTCATCTCTACCCAGTGTGCCACTTGGGGATTACATTATTTGAGAGCTTGTTTGCTGTTGCATTCAGGAATCTGGCTGCCTCTGGGGTCGTTCCTGCATCGTGCTAGGGCTGCAAGGCAGTCCCCGGAGCCCACAGCCTTCTCTGCGGGGTGCAGAGAATCGATTGGAACATCTGTGTGTGCGCAGGAGGCAAAAAAAAAAGCTGCCAGCCAGAGAGGCCACTGACATTTTCTTATTCTTGCTGTCAATCTTCCAATTATATCACTCATAGTGCTTCCTTCATGATTATGATTTCTTAATTTGACATCTTTTATTCTTGGGGTTTCAAAGATAACTTTCAGTGGGCAAACGCATCTCTATTGAAGTGGAGGGAACAGGAAGCAAAATCCATTCCCACAGGGGCCAGCGTTGGGGTGCAGAGGGTTAAGCCACTGCCCGCATCCTATGAGCACGAGCACTGGCTGCTCCAGTTCCGACCTGGCTCCGTGCGAATGGGCCTGGCAAAGTAGCAGATGGCCCAAGCGCTTGAGTCGCTGTGCCCCCATGGGAGACAGATTCGGGGTTCAAGGATCCTGACTTCAGCCTAGCCCAGTCCTAGTCATTTCCAACATTTGGGGTATACATCAGTGGATGAAAGCGATCTCTCTCTGGGCCTTACAAACAAATGTTAATTTTTAAAAATTTCACTCAT